GTGACATCAGCACTCATTAAATCAGACTGGATGTGGCTCATGTCCAATAGTGGTGAGAAGGTGAGAGTACCTGAACGGGAAATTACCTAGTGTAATGTGAGCACCACTCCATGTGCCTATTTAAACTTTGTTTCAGGATGTCACATTTGCATATGAATTCCAGCTCTGTGCTGCTGAGCACCGTCAGCACCTGCCCTTAATTTTCTAGTTATTGGGAGGTGGCGGGAAGGGGGTGTCTTTCCTTTCTGGCTGTGTTTTACAGCCTATGAAATAAAGTTCTATTCTATAACAACACACTTGTCAGTAGCAGCTGGCAGCTTTGAGCAGTGTGGGGCCACTGGCTGCCTTGAGCACTGTGCTGTGCCACCGGCCAGGAGCCACCTATGGTCACTGCCTCCCGGCTAGGGCCTGAGCTTGTACCTCACACCCCTTTCCACATTCCAACCCTCTGCCCCGGGTCAGAACCCCCTCCTTCATCCAAACTCTCTCCTGGCTGCCTTGAGCACTGTGCTGTGCCACCGGCCAGGAGCCACCTATGGTCACTGCCTCCCGGCTAGGGCCTGAGCTTGTACCTCACATCCCTTTCCACATTCCAACCCTCTGCCCCGGGTCAGAACCCCCTCCTTCATCCAAACTCTCTCCTAGACCCTGCACTACCTCCTGCCTCCGTGCCCCAGGCAAGAACCCTCTCCTGCACATAAACTACCCCCATCGAGCTAATAGAAAAGTGTGGCCCAGGAGCACTTACCAACACTCTTGGGGTGGTTCCCTGGCAAAAATTATTGCCCACCCCTGCTCCAAGGCAGTGGAAATACTGGGTAACTGAGACATATGGACCATTCGGACTTGTCCATAACCACCCTCAGGAACACTTGCCCATGACAGGGCCACGCTCAAGCTCCCATCCCCAGCACTGTGTGGGCTAACCCTACCCCCTCCTCCATTCCCAGCATGGCTCTGGCCAGCCTCAACTCCACCCTCCATCCTTGGCACGGCTTGAGCCAGCCCCAACCCCTCCTCCATCCCCGGAATGGCCCAGTCCAACCCCACCCCTAGCCTCCATCCCCAGAACAGACTGGACCAAAGCCTGGATCCGGATGCTAGGAATGCAGTCCCCCATCCTTATGTGGATCAGGGATTCAGCTCTCCCTAGGGTCTGAGCTCCAAGTGCCTGGCCCAACAGCTATCCCCTAGGAGCCTCTGCTCCCCATTCGCCCAGCTCTGGACTCACTCCCTGTCCCACCCAACCATGGTGGCTGGTCAGGGCTTTGTTCAGGGAACAGACCAGAAGGCTGTGTCCAAGGCCATGGGAGTTGGAACATCCCCATGGTGGCTGGCCAGGGCTTTGTTCAGGGAACAGAGAAGAAGGCTAGGTCCAAGGCCATGGGAGTTGGAACATCCTACTCCACTCAGCCCTATCCCTGCAAGCGAGTACCGGGTGAAAAACTTCTACTTGGTGACTGCCAGGTTGAGCTTGGCGATGGGCTAGGACTGCCAGGGCAGTGGCACCATGGCCTGGATGACGGCGGTGAACTCCCTGGCTGGGCTTTGCCCTGCAACTCATGGCCCAGCCCACACTGGCCTGGGCTCCTGGCTGAGCTGAGGGACAGGGTCCCATGTCAGCCAGGCCCACTGCTTACATTTCACAAGGCATAAGGGAGAGGTCGACAAAGGTGTTCCCTGTCGACTGATCCATTCTTGATTGCCGTGCTGTGCTGCCGATCAACTGAGCCGGCCCAGTGTAGCGGCCATTTTTATTTTAATGAAGCCGGTGCCGTGCTGTGCTGATGACCAGCTGAGCCGGCCCAGTGTAGTGGCCATTTTTATTTTAATAAAGCCGGGGATATTTAAATCCCAGCTTCATTGACTCTGTTGGGTAGTCTAATTTACATGCCTCTGCTGACAGAGGCATGTAGTCTAGACATACCCTTGGATGTGTATGGATAAGTCCCACCCTGTTATTTGAGTTATAGTGTGGGGTCATTCTTTAACAGAGATGCTCTTTCTCCCAAGTGTTGGCTGGGCAATGGAGTTAAATTGGTGATTAAACAATCAATCAAACAACAAACAAACAAGACTGAACCAAACTAACTAAAAATGTCTCCACTCCTAGTCACTCAGGTTTCAATCTCCTGTGGTGCCCATGGAGCTCCAGCTAGACACTGGAAAAAAAGGGAAAAAACAACTTTAAAACCCTATTCTGGTCTTCTTCCTATGTCAGAGGAAAGGAGGGGAAATCCACAAAATCTGCCAACCATGGGTAGGGGATGAAAGCCCAGCTAAAGCAGATAAATCCAAGCCCCGCTCCATCTAGCTGAAGCCACACCTCTTTCCCCAAGACAATGCCCTTTCAGCAACCTCCCGCCCAGCCAAGCCCTGACCAACCATAGCTCCCAACTCCAATCCTTCTTGGCCAGCTGGTGGGCTGGACCTGCCAGACTGCATGCCCAGTCACCTGAGGTGGCTGGGCAGTGTAGGTAGTTTTGGGAATGCAATGCCTTCCTTCGTCCACATTACCCACCACCCATGCTGCCAACAAATCTAAACACACCAAATCACAAGCCCCCACCCCAGCCGAGATCTGACCCTGAAAGGGAGTGTGCCAGAGACTCAGTGATGTGCAGCAGGGGTGTGTCTGGTGCTAGAGATGTATGAAGAAGGTGCCCAGATATTCGGGTTGCATGAGGCTGCATGAGGAACCCCCTGAGATAGACACAGCACACAAAGGGGCCACCCCTCTTTTTGCGCCCTTTGAAGGGGATGTTCAGAAACATGGAAGCACCTTCTACACCCCATCTTTGCCCCTTTAGCTAAAAGGGCAATGCCATTACCTGGAGCAGCCACTGGAGGAGGATGTGGCACCACTGTACAAATCTAACCCCAATCCCTGGGCTGATGCAGCTATGGTGGGAGATCAGGGTCCCTGCACAGTGCATCAATGCGCTGAAGGCAGATCTGAGATTCCACTGAACCCTGCTCTCTAAGGATCCCTGTGGGAACAAGCCCCTCCTTAAACCTCAGCCTGCTACTAACCGACCAGTCCCACTACACACAGGGCTGGCCAGCGGCTGCACGGCAGGAAGGGAAATAAAAGGGAGTAGCAAGAAAGGAATTGTAAGGAAAGGAGGCAAGCCAGTATGAAGGCCACTGGGACTGGGATGGCTGGGAGCAGCGGGTCAGGACTGAGGGGTGCTGGGAGAGGAGATGAGATTTGGGATAGCTGGGGCTCTGGGTCCGGACTGAGGGGCACTGACAGAGTTGGGAGTGGAGCCCATGGCTGGGATAGTGGGGAAGAGGGGGACTGTGAGTTAGGACTGAGGGGGGCATCAGCAAAGCTGTGGGGGAGCCAAGCTGTCTGCATAGTAAAACACCACACGCTGCTCACTCAGCAGCATCAAGAAGTGCAGAATCCATCACTGGCTTTGGTACTGTGTTCCAATGGGGACTCATCCTCACGGTGAAATATTTGTGCCCTATTTCTAAGCTGAATTTGTCTGGTGTCACCTTCCAGCCGCTGGTCTTGTTCTGCCTTTCGCTGTGCCATTAACCAGCCCTTTAAGACCCAACATGTTCTCTTCAGGAAGGCATTGAGACACGTCAATGAGACACTCAGCTAAACACACGCAGCTCCTTCCCACAGTTCACAAAGCTTTTTTCTGGAGACCTCAAAACATTTGGCTCTTTGCTGCCCCATCTCCAATTTTTCAACATCTTTTTAAAATGTGGCCCCTCAAGCAGGTGCAGTCTCCAGTCACAGTCTCATAGATTCTGTGTCACCTCCCTGCCCTATTTGCCCCTCTGCTTTTGTGCCTAATGATGGCAATAGCCATATTCACCACAGCATCACCCTGCAACCTCCTGGTGAGCAGCATGACCCCAAAATCCTTTGCAGAGTCACTGCTTGCCTGGGTACAGCTCCCCGTTTTGAGGGCTGCAGAAAAACACCTTCTTGTGAGCTCTTGAGCTCGTCGGCTGTGTCTAGACTGGCAAGTTTTTCCGCAAAAGCAAGTGCTTTTGCGGAAAAACTTGCCAGCCGACTACACTGGCCGCTTGAATTTCCACAAGAACACTGACTTCCTACTGTCTGAAATCAGTGCTTCTTGTGGAAATACTATGCTGCTCCCATTCGGGCAAAAGTCCAGTGTAGACAGCTCAGATTGGTTTTGCATAAAAAAGCCCCTATTGCGAAAATGGCGATGGGAGCTTTTTTTGTGCAAAACCGCGTCTAGATTGGCATGGATGCTTTTCCGCAAAAAGTGCTTTTGAGGAAAAGTGTCCGTGCCAATCTAGTTGCTCTTTTCCGCAAATGCTTTTAATGAAAAACTTTTCCGTTAAAAGCATTTGTGGAAAATCATGCCAGTCTAGACGTAGCCAATGTGTTGAGCTTCTACAAAGGAAGGCTGAGAGGTGACGTTGCAGAAGTTTCTAAGTACCTTCCCGGAGAGGGTATTTAAAGGCCTGTTTAAAGGCACAGGGAAAGGCAAAACAGGACCCAGTGGCTGTCAGGTGAAACCAGACACAGCTGAGAAACAAGGCACACATATTTCACAGTGAGGATGATTCACCAAACTTTCAAAGCAAGTGACAGATTCTTCATTTCTTGACATCTTCTAGTGAAGACGAGATGTCTTTCTGGTGTGAGCTTGGATGAAAACTTAGCTATTTTGATATACAGCAGGGCTGGGACATACGGGGTCAAGTTCGATGCTCTAATGGTCCCGTTCAGCCTTAATATCTACTAATTAATGACAAACTCTGGGGATTTATTATCCATGGGCCCCAGACTCAGCTGTCATTAAGTGGGACAATCCAGGGCAACCAACTCAAAGATCCAAAGTGGCAGACTGGGGTCAGGACACTGGCCATGCAGGGGAGCAGTGGGTGTGGCAGTGACATCACAAAGGCCTGTTGCAGGACCTCAGCCTATTGGGGGGAAAGTGGTGTGTCATTTGTGACCTCACAGAGAGGCCCTGACAACAGCCAGGCAGGACAGAGGCACAGGGCAAGGAAAACCTCAGAGATTCCTGTGGCTCTGCAGTAGCAAGGCTCCTGCTCAAGCTCTCTCCCTGGGGATGGATAAACAATTGGGATTACTCTAGGCAAGCGTGAGTAGGAACCTTGTCGGAGTTTTCTTCTTCCCTACCACCCATTCTGTGTTACCTGCTTAGGAGCCTGTTTGGCGTCTGTTCTGTCTGACCCACCTGGTACCAGCTGAGTCCTAGGCATAGAAATCACTAAGTTAAGGTGATTTGATTTCCTCCCAAGGACTTTATTCCTTAGAATCGCTGCAGACATTGGGGGTTTGTCCTTTTGACTCCTTCCTACCAGCAGCACAGAAGGAAGGGAGGCATGGTCTGTTACTGCCACCCTTCCTTCCGCACCGCTGATAGAGGCAGCCCTACTTTCCACACTGAGGGGCCGGAGAGCAGTGGGTAGTGGCAGGACACCCAGCTCAGAGGTCAATGCCACTGCCAGCAGCGGTGCAGCAGGAAGGGTGGCATGGTATGTGATTGCCACCTTTCCTTCTGTGATGCTGCTGGTGACGATGCTGCCTTCTGAGCTAGGAGGCTGTAGAGCAATGGACTCTGGGGAAGTGCCCAGGTCAGATGGCAGCACAGAAGGAAGGGAGGCATTGTATGGTATTGCCCCCTTCCATCTGCACTGCTGCTGGTGGTGGCACTGCCTTTTGGTCTGGGTAGGAGCAGAGCAGTGGCCTCTGATGAGGCACCCAGCTCAGACGGCAGCACAGCTGCCAGCAGCGGCACAGAAGGCAGGGTGGCATGTTATGGTATTACTGTCCTTCCTTCTGTGCCACGGCTGGTGGCAGTTCTATCTTCTAACGTGGGCTGCTGGAAAGGCAGTGCCGCCACCGCAGCGGAGGAGAAGGATGGGTGGCATGGCATCATATTGTCTCCTTTCCTTCCCTGCCACTGCTTTCTAAGGAGGTGGCTGGGGTGGGGGAAACTGGTCAGACACCCAGCCTGAATGGCAACCCAGCTGCCAGCAGCAAGGCAGGATGAAGGGGGGCATGGTCTGGTATTGCCACTCTTCCTATTGTGCTGCTGGAGGTGGCTCTAACTTTTAATCTGGGCAGCAAGAGAGTACGGGCACCAAGAAAAGAAAGTCTGCACCCACAGCAGCACGGAAGGAGGGTAGAAAAGTCTGCTACTGCCACCCTTCTGTGCTACTGCTGGAAGCAGTCCTGCTTCCCACGCTGAACAACTACAGAGTGGTGGGACAGAGTGGTGAGTACTGGTGGGTACTGGCAGGACACCCAGCTCTGAAGTCAAGGTATCCACAAGCAGCAGCGCAGAAGGGAGGGTGGCATGGTCTGGTATTGCCACCTTTCTTTCTTTGCTGCTGCCAGTGGCGGAGCTGCCTCCCCTCTAGGAGGCCACAGAGCAGAGCAATAGCCTCTGGTGAGGTACCAGAGGCAGTGAGTGAAGCCGAGGAAAACCCTGAATCCAAGTCTAACCCACAGTGGGTACATCTAAACTACATGGCTCCATCGATGAAGCCATGTAGATTAGGCTGATTGGCAAAGGGAAATGAAGCCGCGATTATTTAAATCGCGGCTTCATTTCCCTTTGCCGATCAGCCTAATCTACATGGCTCCATCGATGGAGCCATGTAGATTAGGCTGATCGGCAAAGGGAAATAAAGCCGCGATTATTTAAATCGCGGCTTCATTTCCCTTTGCCGATCAGCCTAATCTACATGGCTCCATCGATGGAGCCATGTAGATTAGGCTGATCGGCAAAGGGAAATAAAGCCGCGATTATTTAAATCGCGGCTTCATTTCCCTTTGCCGATCAGCCTAATCTACATGGCTCCATCGATGGAGCCATGTAGATTAGGCTGATCGGCAAAGGGAAATAAAGCCGCGATTATTTAAATCGCGGCTTCATTTCCCTTTGCCGATCAGCCTAATCTACATGGCTCCATCGATGGAGCCATGTAGTTTAGACACACCCTGGGAGTGTTACGCTGTCCTTGCTGTTCCTGATGCAGAAGACACAAGTCTGAAACAGCTTCTTAGTAGGGATTTACCATCCTTGTGGTCAAGCTCTAGAGAACAATGCTTTTAGCTCTAGGATACCTGGACTCGGTGCCAGGGATGACAAGCCCTAGAGAGGGTCTCTGGGAAGGCCTGGTCTACATGTTAGCAGGCTCCTATCTTTGCATGGCCTTGGGGGAATCAGACAGTGACAGGATCTGAGCCCTTATGTTCCCCTGTAAGCTGAGGTATTGTGTGGCCACCCAGCTGATTAGCAGAGTACCCACAGGCCTCCATGCATGTGTAACCACCACCAGGTGGATTTGAACCTGGGACATCTGAAGCTGAGTATAGCAGAGGGCTTATTTCAAATTTGGTAAACCTCATTTCACGAGGAATAATGCCAAATTTGAAATAGCTATTTCGAAATAAGTGCTGTGTAGACACTTATATCAAAATAGGGGGCCTCACTGATTAACAATTCACTAACGGGTGGTATGTGATACACACAAACACACACACACACACACTGATTATCAATTCACTAAAGGATGGCATGTGAGATCTCTCCTAAGAGCCAGTGGCCCAATGGTTGTCATAGTCCTTGGGAAAGGTAGGTGCAGATAATATTTAAGAACTTATCTATGTAAAAGTTATGTTCTTAGTGACTTGGGATTAATGCAGGTCACCAGGAGCGTTCCTGTCCAGCAGGAGGTAACAGATCCTTATTTCTCTGCCTTCTGATGGGCAGGGGATGTCTCTCGAAGGATGCTTGCCTGCATGATGCTGATCAAGTAATTGCACAATTTCAAGAGGAAATTTATAAGAAACAACAAGCAGCAGGAAAGAAGCCTGTTTACAAATATAGACAATAGTTTGTTGGGATATATGCCTGACTTGTTGCATGTATATCACTATCACATGCTAGCCTGGCTGTAAAAGGATAGAAGGACTTCAGGGTCACCATTGCCCTAAAAGACATAAAAATGTCTAGTTACATACATCTAGGTTCTAAATGTGTGTTAGGGTTGTGTTTAATATGTAGCCATCTGCTGCCAGTACTTCTCCCGGCTATCACTTGCATCTCTGTGCTTTGTTAAAGAACCTATACCAGCTTGCACTGTACAACATAGCTAAATCCTATGAGTTAAACAGAGCAGTGATCCAAAATGCAATGGGTAAGCTGTGATTTTCTGCTGCTTTGAGAGATGCAAATCAGTGAATCCTGCAAGTGTCCAGGGGACTAAGGGCTGGACCAGGGATGGGCAATAATTTTTGGTGGGGGGGGGCCACTCCAAGATTTTGGTTAGTGGTCAAGCGCCGCACTTTTCTGTGTAGAGGGTGCGGGGTCAAGATTGGGTGCAGAAGGGTGCATGGAGTAAGAACCATGGTGCAGGAGAGGGTGTGGGGTCTGAGAGGGTGTTTGGGTGGAGGAGGGGGTTGTGACCTGGGTCAGGGGATTGGAATGTAGGGTCAGGGTGGGAGTGTGGGTGCAGGAGAGGATTCTGGCTTGGGGGAAGGGTTTTAGAAGGAGTACAGGTCTGGGAGGGAGTTGTGACCTGGGGCCGGGGGGGTGCAGAGGGTTTGGATGGTGACCTGGGGGAGGGAGTTGGGATGTAGGAGGGGTTGGGGTGCCAGAGGCAGGCACAGGCTGGGAAGAGTTTCCCTAGGTGTCTCCTGGCCAGCAGGCTGCAGTACCCCCGAGCCAGGCTGGGCTCCCTGTCTGCTGCAGCCCCAGCCCAATGGAAAATGCAGCTTCCTCCCTCCATGGGGCTCTCAACTCAACATGGGGGAAGAGGCTTGCATTGCCCCTGTTACTCAGGCCAATCTCTCCGCTCCCATTGGATGGCTGTTTCCAGCCAATAGGAGCTGAGGATTGGGCTGGGGGCGGGAAGCCTCTCCCTCCCTGCACAGCAGAGAGAGATACAAACCTGAGGGTCCTGGCAGGGGGAGCCACGGGCCGGATCCGGCTTGGCCGGCCAGATCTGGCCCACGGGTCATATATTGCCCAGGCCTG